ATTTATTTAATAATTAAAGTCAAACAGTTTCTAAGACTCAGTTTGAAAACATATTACAGACATGCCAATAACAAATAATACTTAGTGAATATTAATAAAAATATATTTAATTTTCATATTTCGTTCCACATCTGTTCCATTACAGAACATCAATTATGTAGTTGTAGGCTCGAAATATTCGTTTTAGCTCACAAAGCATTGGGCACGGGCGGATCATCTCAAGGCGATCGCACCGAGCCGAATATGAAACACTAATTGTGTATAATCTTAAACTGACAGCCGTTAACGAAGATCGCCCGAAAGCGACAGATATTTGCAAGCCATTTGTTCTATACAACATTGTCGTTGTCATGTTTGTTTATTGTTTGTTATGCAAATCGTTGTCGGACGCACCAGGGCTCTGTATACGTGTTGACTTTTGTTTTCATTAGTTACTTTACTGGTGGTAGGACCTCTTGTGAGTCCGCGCGGGTAGGTACAAATAGCAATTCACACTTAAACCTTATGTCCTAAGATGGTGTCAATGTTTGAGACATCGAATAGTTGCTAGTGAACCATTTTATACCACATTAGCTATATATACGTATGCTAGTTTACAACAATAGAAAAATGTAGTTTAATTTTGCCAAAAACTAAAGATAGGTAACTAATAAGATAACTAACTAACATTACTGGTGGTAGGACTTGTGAGTCCGCACGGGTAGGTACCACCACCCTGCCTATTTCTGCCGTGAAGCAGCAATGCGTTTCGGTTTGGAGGGTGGGGCAACCATTGTAACTATACTTGAGATCATAGAACTTATATCTCAAGGTGGGTGGCGCATTTACGTCGTAGATGTCTATGGGCTCCAGTAACCATTTAACACCAGGTGGGCTGTGAGCTCGTCCACCCATCTAAGCAATAAAAAAAAACTTAAATTCTTGGCGTCGATATCTGAGTGTGTGTGTGTGTGTGTGTGTGTGTTTTTTTTGCGACTTCTAGACCTTTCCAGTTCGAAGCTGGATAATTAGATTAAGGAGATTATAACGGACAAAAACTTCGTCGAAATTTTGCTTTAGATGATGCATTTTGATGTAGACGTTCAGGAATCATAGACAGTTCGAGTTTTGTTGTTTCTTATGAATTTATTTTCGGCAACCTGACACCAATATGTAGTTTTTTTATTGGCCTTGTAGACAGACGAGAATACGGGCCACCTGATGGTGAGTGGTTACCGTCACCCATTGACGTTGGCAATGCCAGAGCAGAGCTAAACCACTGCCTACTGTTAATTACTATCCGTAAGCCTTGTTGGAAATAGGACATGTCGTGTATTTTCCGCAATCAATGGCTTGATCTTGTTTTTCCCTAAAATACAAGGAGATAATGTTTTTCTATCATTACAGTAATATCTAATAACATTTCTCGACTTCGTAAGTCAATGGTTGTTTTTTCCAAATAACCAAATGTACGTTCTAAAGCTACGTATTAGTTTCTAACACACGTCATTACGGATCCTCCTTAACCATTAACGGTGCTTTTAGGTACCTCAAGCACGGTCACCGTCCTCGCCGAACCCGTCGCTTGCGACGATGAGCTCGACGAGTAAATTAACCCATAGACACAGTCCACTAAGTTTCTCGCCGGAACTTCTCAGTGGGTCGCGTTTCCGATCCGGTGGTAGATTCTGCGAAGCACTGCTCTTGCTAGGGCCAGTGTTAGCAACACTCCCGGTTCGAGCCCGAATAGTCTCGAAGAGCAGATGTATCTCACCATTCAAAATTCTGTTTGATGTCTACGTATCAAAATTATCATATCCTGATCACTGCGGAACTTTTACTTATGCAACTTCGAGTTTCTGAAGCCTTCGTTAGATTAATTCTTAAATTATCAAATTATATTCACTAAATGATAATTAAAAAAAGAAACGAATTATTAGGGCAACACGTTCCATAGAGATAGGTAACCTATTTATTACTTTACGCAACGTCAATTGTTTGAAAACAAATGCTCCTTAACAAAGCTTAGTGAAAGGGCGACTTGATTGATTGAATACAAACTTTGTAACCAACAATACAATTATCAATTACTAACGTCTTCGAATACGTAAATAGATTTCAGGTTTAATGACTTACCTTCGACTATTCGACATTGAACAACTGTTAGAGTTTTTGTTGACTGTGCCAATGACCTACCAAAGGACGAATTTAAATTAGCAGATCATTACTAAGACATAATGAAGAAGATATGAGTTTGGAAGGCTCTTGTTGCATTAATTCGCAGTAGTGCTAAATGATTAATTTTTTTTCGACCTCCCCGGTCGGAGACCTAGAGGTAGACCCAAGACAAGGTAGAGGGACGTAGTGCTGAAGGACAAGAGAGAATGCAATGTTGCTGACGAGGATATCGAAGACAGAGCGAAGTGGAGGAGTAAAGTCAGGAAAGCTGACCCCACCACCATGTGGGATAAATAGCTGGGAAGAGAAGAGTGCTCAATGATTTTTTTTGTCCTTATTTTTCAACTTCCCCAACTTTTCCGGTAGAACAGTTTTTAATCCAATGAAACTGAATTTTCTAAATGATATCTCAAGTCTTGCTGCAAGGAAGAATGCTTGTCTAAATACATAGCTTACGTTCCGACAATGGCTAACAAATGCCGGCGGCTGCTTTGTTAACTTCTTTAAGCTAATTAAAAAGGGAACTAAACTATCATTTTACTGTTACAATTTAATGTGGTGACAATTGAAAACGTTATTAATATTAGTTTTTCAAAAAATATTTTGTATTTCTATACCAAAATTAAATAAACGTTCACTTAAATATCCGGTTAAGAATTCTTAGTCTCGAATCTAATCTGCAGATGATTAAGCTTTGTATTTCACTTCGGGGGCGGATGCGTCTACTAGGCACAAATCAGTCAGGCCACTGTTCAGCCTCTGCCCACCGAATCTAGGCTTTGCCAATCCAATAACCTCCGCCTCTAGAATCCAGTCTGCGTTACAATGTACATATTACAGCAAACCGAGTCTTCATCACGTATAATAGAGCATTCATCTGTTGTAGCTATTATAGTCGCTAAGCACGCGATCCTATCATCCCGGCCCACAAAAGACGAGAACACCCACCCCAAAGTATTGACAGAATAATGAGGAACCGGGAAAAACTTCTGTTGCGGAATGAAAAGCGCAAATTCGTCATTAGGCGGCGTTTTCCGCCATTGTTCTCGCCGTCTCCTTTCCCCGCATCTGGGGTATCGTTAGCGCGAACGAGACGAGACTTGGTCCTCGGAGGCTGATTGTTCCTTTCTATGTTAGAGACATTGTTTTCGCTTTTATACCCGTCTGAATTGGGATTGTCTTGTCTGTTTCAATGGACGGTGGCGCCCCTCCACGGTGGATGAATACAACATTCTATAAATGGAGGGAGACAAAGGGTTGGTCTCTTGAATCGAGCTGGGAGACAGGTCGTTCGGGCCTTCGATTATATTGTATCGATTGAATGTTATTGTCTGCGCTATGAACGATGCTCCGGGCAAATTACTTTTCAGTTATCTTTTTTCTTTTTATAAATAGTACTACGGCTTGCTCTCGGTTTTGCTGAAATCTTTTAAATTATGAAGACTTAACTATATTATCATGTTAACCACTAAATACAGAGCTGCTAATTTCTTTGTTTAAAAATCGTTAAAAAAAACCGCCTTTCTAGAAAGTATATGTATAATAGTTTAATGATTCTCTAAATGTTAATATGAATGCAATTGATTTAAAATCATATTGAAAGATTTGTATATTCGTTCTGTGACAAACATATCGTTAAATAGATTGATATTAATTTTTATACAGTTATTGTTAACGCTTCGGGAAAGGTTTCAGGCATTCTTATTATTAATAATGTTTTCTACAAAATATATTTCGATAGATAGACGATAGTCGAATGAAAGCAACGACAATTAATTGTTTTGATTGAAGAAATTAAAAAATCTTATCGTATCTTATCTTATCTTCCGAATTATCCTTCGTAATAATAGAACGAAAATTATTCTTATTTTTTACGACAGAGATTATCGTAGCGTAAAATAAGATTTTCATTCACGTAATCACATAACGATGTTTGCACAATAATCAAGTCTCAACGAATTAAAACTTTAACATTTATGATAACGAAAACTGTTTAGTATTTGAAACTTCGGAAAACATTAAACTCATTGTTCAAATGCAGTCTTAACATTAATCATACCAATACTCACTGGTACCTATTTTTACTATAGCTGATAGATAACGATAAACGACGAGTAATACTTTAAAAAAAAAAATTATAACTATATTAATTGGTAAGAAAAAGTCATGAAGTCAAGTGTCTTACTGGTGATAGGACCTATTATGAGTCCGCACGGGTAGGTACCACCGCCCCACCTATTTCTACCGTGAAGCAGCAACGCGTTTCGGTTTGAAGGGTAGGGTAGCCGTTGTAACTATACTGAGACCTTAGAACTATATCTCAAGGTGGGTGGCGCATTTACGTTACGTCATATTACGTCTATGAGCTCCAGTAACCACTTAACACCAGGTGGGCTGTGAGCTCGTCCACCCATCTAAGCAATAAAAAAAAGTGCAAAAGCAATAAGATGATACGGGCATTTTCAATACAAAATGGGTATGTTCAGTGTTAGGTATTATGTAACGAACTAGCTGACTCAGCAGACTTCGTAGTGCGTCAATCGATAAATAAAATACCTAAACTTTTGTATAACATAAACTTAAAACAAACAAAAGGAATCCGTCCGACGGGAGACACATCATAGGAAAAACAATATTGTTATTTTTATTTAATTCCGAGCATTTTCATATTTATCTACCTTTTAAACCTTCTCTGGACTCTGGATCTCTGGAACAAATAATTCAAGATCAAAATTAGCCAAATCGGTCCAGCCATTCTCGAGTTTTAGCGAGACTAACGAACAGCGATTCATTTTTATATATATAGATAAGTAAAATCTTACAAAACTATCGGTTTCCATCAGGTGCTGAATGGAAACTCCTGACAGAAGACGAGAAAAGGCCGTTCATCGATGAAGCCAAACGTCTCAGGGCGATGCACATGAAGGAACATCCAGATTACAAGTACAGGCCGCGGAGGAAACCGAAGACCCTCAGGAAGGAGGGGTACCCGTACTCGATACCGTATCCCAGTGTGCCCATGGACGCGCTCAGAGCGGGTGAGTGACATGTTGTAATTTTTAAATGTTTTTTTCATTTTAAAATCCGAAGTCGTCGTGGCCTAAAGGATAAGACGTCCGGTGCATTCGTATGTAGCGATGCGTCAGTGTTCGAATCCCGCTGGCAGGTACCAATTTTTCCAATGAAATACGTACTTAACAAATGCTCACAAGATTGACTTCCACGGGGAATGAATAACATCGTGTAATAAAAATCAAACCCGCAAAATTATAATTTGCGTAATTACTGGTGGTAGAATGTCTTGCGAGACCGCACGGGTAGGTACCACCACCCTGCCTATTTCTCTCGTGAAGCAGTATTGCGTTTCGGTTTGAAGGTAGCCGTTGTAGTGTTAAAAGTGAGACCTTACAACTCATATCTCAAGGTGGGTTGCGGCGCTTACGTTGTAAATGCCGCCCAGATGTTGCTCAGACCTGATTCTCTGTTATGTTGAGTGTTTTTGTTTAATTGCACAGGAGGGCATTTAGTTCAGTCATGACGCAATTTGTGCCTAATCGCCAATAAGTGAATGAAAAAGTGAGTATAATACATAATAAACCATTTAGAACGAACCCACTGCGATATAAAAATCCAAAAGTAATTGCTGAACGTATTTATTATATTCTTGCTATATCAGATTTCATTTCTTATGCTATCTAGCTATTGTAAAAATAAAAAACATTTAGTTAGTTTTGACTGAATTAAAAATACTAACATAAAAGCAATAAATCCAATATATATTTGTTGTTTATATATTGGGCATTCGTAGTAAAAACTTCATAGAAACACGTCAGAAAATATCAATGTTTTAAAAAACGTTCGCCTAAATGTACATAGATAATTAAAGGTGACCTCAATAACAAAAATGCACCACGGATGCACGGAAGCCATTTTTTTCTACCAAAGCTGATGGTCTAGAGAGATCATGTCAGCGTAACCTTAACTAGTAGGTGAGCTAACGGGGCTCCTGACTATGTTGCCAACACAAACCCTAGCAAGAGCTGTGCTTCGCAGAATCTACCATCGGATCAGAAACGCGACCCACTGAGAAGATCCGAGGAAGCCATCATTACGTGCTGTAAAACGAAATTTACAATAGTCGTAGTGTTGTTTTATATAAGGTTCAATCGGCTTATCTATTGTTATGGGCTTTGTGACGTCAAAATAAGGTTGTTGACAAATCTGACTGACCGCTACACGCTCAAACGCCAATGCCGACAGAAAAACAATTCTAAAATCATATCTCAAAGAGAATATCTAACAAAGAATACACAAAAAAAAGTTAAATTACAGACCGTATTATCAATGCAATCTAATCCAAGACAATTCCGTTACCTCCGAAAAACGAAAGAATGGTCACAAAAATAGCAGACGAGCTCAGTGGCGCCCTCCTGCGTCGAACGATACCATTCAATTCAGACGATGTCATCGGATCCGCCGAGATTACACAATCGCGCTGCCTCGTTTACACGTGCTCTACACTTGATGATTATCTACTTGCAACTTGTTACTTACATACTATCTACTACTTGCAAGTTACAGTTTTATGAACATCCATGTTATAAGATTTTCGATTGTGTATATAGAATTAAAATATATTTAAAAACCAAGAATTTATTAAATTTCTAAATTAAATATTTGAGAATTGCGGACAAATGAAGATTTTGATTTTAGCCCCCATCTTCGCGCATTAGTGACTATAGCATATTGTACTCATATATATGACAAATGTTAGTGTAAAATCTGATAGCCGCCTATATTTGTCGTGAAGCAGTATTGCGTTTCGATTTGAAGGGTGGGGCAGCCGTTGTAACTATACTGAGACTTTAGAACTTGTATCTCAAGGTGGGTGGCGCGTCTACGTTGTAGATGTCTATGGGCTCCAGTAACCACTTAACACCAGGTGGGCTGTGAGCTCGACCACCCATCTAAGCAATAAAAAAAAAAAAAAACCTCTACTCTAACCACAAACGTGACTGTGTAGGTTAAAAGATGACGCAATTTTTTCTTATAATAACATAAAACTTAACAAATCGACCATATTACATACCTGAACGTAACTTTTACACGGGAACTTTACGTTATTAATTTGATAATTAACGCAATTTTCATAATTTTAAAGCGAGTAGTAAACACTACTTACTTGCTCACGCTTTCGGAACTACGCTTTATAACATACGACAGTTACTCGCACAATCAAAAGGCTTCGTTTCAAACGCGGCACAGAATTGGTCACTAGCCTCGTTCCGATAACAAAAACTACGCCTATAGTCACGATTTTTTGTCGTGACGTATAAAATAAAAGCAGACGCGGCAGACGTACGATTTTACTTTTTATTTTATTTTAATACCACCTGAAATTCGGTGAGACAAATTGCATTTGCAAAAGTGAAAAAACAAACTAATTGACTTGAATCAGTAAACAAGTGTCCACCTACCTAATAATATTCAGAGCTGATAAATACAAGACTTCAAGACAATGCCATCACCAGCTTAACGACTTATGGTTGGAAGGGTAGAACGTCTATATATAATATAATTCAGGTCTAAGATAACCAAGCTATCCCCAGGTCGGTCGTGTGATAAATCTACACTACATCATTATTTCTAAACAGGCATCTAATGTTCATGCTAACATAGATATTATGTATGAATAAAAAAAATATCAATGTTGTAAACAGGGTTATCAAAGATATATTTTTTTTATTGCTTAGATGGGTGAAAGAGTTCACAGTCCGCCTAATGGGAATTGGTTACCGGAGCCCATAGACATCTACAACGTAAATGCCATCAACCACCTTGAGATATAGTTCTAAGGTCTCAGTTTTTACATTATAACGGGTGCCCCATCCTTCAAACCGTAACGCATTACTGCTTCACGGCAGAAACAGGAAGAATGGTGGTACCTACCTTTGTGGTCTCGCAAGACCTCCTACCACCGGTAAAAAAATCCTATTGGAAATCAAGAAAATTATTTACTAATTATGAAATAATAATATAATAAGACAATCTATAAAAATTTTAGATTTTGCGTTACGTAAGATTTGTTGATTCAATTTATTTATACTTTAGTATGATACTTTAGTTTTCAGTAAAGTAAAATGAAATAGAACAAATGATTATTTGAAATTTTCTTGAAAAAAATAGACAAAGATTATGTTCCTCGCATAAATAAAAATAACACAAGAACAGCCCTAACTATAGCTGTATAAAACGTTATGTAACTATATAAGGCTAGCCACACATCCACCAACAATAGCAGCATACGACACACAAAACCCGACGCAAGAATATTGAGCGCCCGCCGACAGCACACAAAAGATTCCAAATATGAAATACGAAAATGGAACGCATAGTTTAAACCGTCTTGGCTGCTTTTGACAGTTGACAGTTTTCACTGTCATTGAAAGTGACAATGGGGGTTAGTTTGAGGGTGCGTCAAATTTCGCTCGCGCCCGCTACTCGGGGTTGCATTGACATGCGATTAAAGTTATTGAAATATCACGATTTTTAAAGTACTTATGGTTCAGTAAAGGGTTGTTATTCCCTTTTCTTGTTCTGTTCCGTTTTAATTTCGCTCATCTTTGAGCGTTATCTATATATTATTAATACGTGAAGCAAAAACTTTGTACTCCTTTTTACGAAAATTACGCAGACGGAAGACTATGAAATTTTCCACACTTATAGAGAATATAGTGAAGATGTGCAGAATGCTAATATTTTTTTTAAATTATTCATTAATAATACGTTAAATCAATAAAAAAATATTACACACACTACCATGTATTTGACACACACACATATTTAAACTCAGCTTATTGTCAAAATTTTGTTATTGTTTAAAATCTGTGGTCAAATTGAGAATAGGTTACTATTGTTTATCTTTAATATTATTTGTCTATAGTGTGGTCTTGGCGAAACCTGTGAATGAAGAAGTATATTAGTCTTTGACAATAGAACCTTAATAATGTTCAAACTTATAATCACAATTAATTATAGTCGAATCACGACTACTGCGAGACCACTAGTGTGAATAAATGGCTTAATTTTTGATCAGTGATGGTTTTCCACAAATATTTTACATATACAACCTTATATATATTAATATATTCTTTACGACCTCACANTGTACCGCTGAGCTCCAGTCTGCCTGTGCGATCAACGATCATGACCTTTGTTTTAGATCTGTTTATCGCGAGTCCGAGGTCTTTGCTAATGCGCTCCATCCTGTCCAAGAACTTGCCCATCTCGATTTCGCTGGCTGCCAGGAGAGTGGTGTCGTCAGCGTAGCGTAAGTTAGAGATTTTACAGCCTCCGACGGTAATACCACCATCCCATCCATCGCATGTTTTCCTGACGATGTATTCGCCGTAAATATTGAACAGGATGGGTGACAGGATGCAGCCCTGCCGCACGCCCTTGTGAAATTTGAACGAGTCAGATGCAGTCCTATCGATTCTCACTACTCCCTGGCTGTTGTAGTATAATGACTGAAGGAGTGCAGTAAGGTGGCGAGGGACCCCCAACTCTGTGAGGACATCCCACAAGCAGTTCCAGTCAACACAGTCAAAAGCCTTACTATAGTCAACGAAACACATGATGACCGGCGTGTCGAATTCGTAGCACTTTTCCACAATCTGTCTCACGTTCAGTATTTGCTCCCTCGTGCCCTTGCCTTTTACAAATCCAGCTTGTTCCTGCGGGATCTGCCAGTCCAAATAGTAACGAATCCTGCTGTTTATTACATGCAAAAGAACTTTGCTAGCGTGAGAGATGAGGGCCAGGGTGCGGTAATTATCACATTTTCTAGTTGAACCTTTCTTGTGCAGTGGGATAATTACAGACCGCGTCCAGTTTTTGGGCCATTCACCGTTTTGCCATACGTGATTGCAAATCTTATGGAGTACATCCAAGCCATTGTCACCAAGAGCCTTGAGGATCTCCGATGTGATATCGTCAGGTCCGGGAGCCTTCTTTGATTTGAGCCGGTCGATTGCAC